TTCACTCCTAAAACAAGCAGATCGTTTTTGTTTCCATTTCCAAAGGATGAAAAAAAAGAGAGAGTGAGAAACACATACACAAAGCCAAAAAGAAACAGAGAATCCAAGTGGAGAGGTATGTGTTATTGGACAAGTGTTTAATTTATGGAACTTGGCCTGCAGAACAAGAGTTTGAATTGTACTTCAATAAGTGGAGCTCTTAGAATAAATGTGGCTTGTAAAGTTGTTTTACAGTCTGCTTTGCAGAGCAGCCAACACCTCATGGAAACCTTTGAAAAACATTCTGTTTAGAAGTGACGGTGTTTATATTTCATATTTTCTCTATTTGTTTTCCCCTCTGGTTTTATAACTGAAACCATATGCAGGAAAACAGGACTTTTGAGTCTTAAAATATCTACCTGGGCTGACTACTTTTATTATTAAGAAAACAGTTTGCATTTTGAAAATTCTTTATATATTAGGCACTTGGTTCAAACACTAACTTGCCCTTGTTTGATTTCCCAGTCAGCTACAGATTTCCTGAATGATCTTGGGATGGTTGCTTAGCTGGCATTCATATCCCCTCTTCCTAGAATTAGCAGTGCAGCTGTCCACATCTAATGTCCAATCCTGGTTATTTTTCCCGCTATAGACAACAAAAAAATACAACAGAGTTTAGGACATGATTCCTCTACAGAGGATGAGATGGGAGGAATCATGCTCTACACTTTCTACTGCCCTGCTCTCCATGCACCAAGGTGGGAGTCTGGGTAAGTTGCTCAGATACAGACACTCTGTCAGATAGATCCCATCCAAGTCTCTCTGTATAGACAAATAAATGATTTCCTCATCATTTCTAAGGTGGGATCAAATCTATCCCACGTTGAGAATAATGCCAGACAAATCTGGGTGAGTTGTCCCAATACCTGTATCTCTACATTGACTGTAGAGGAATCCTGCTCCTTCAAAATCATTTGGAAGAACTATGGCAAAGCAGGAAGTCAAACCCTCCTTCTCCATGGTCACACACACATATATATGTATGATACATACATAAAATGTATCAGTGCTTCATCTCATCAAGACAATCCAACAAGTAGACCTTGTGCCTCCCTTCGTCAGACTGGGAAATACTGCTGCAGTGGAGGGGACAAAAGAAGCAGTACAGGAAAATATCTCCTTGGAGCTAAGCATAGTATTGCTCTGTACAGAACACAGATTGGAAAGGAAGATGCAGAAAGGCTCCAAGACCACACCATAAGAGCCAAGTATCTAAATTAGGACGTAAGAGTCATATTTAGCCACATAAGCTAAATTGCCCTGATTGCTAACTCCACTGTGTGGTAGTTGTGTTTATGCAGATATGACAGAAGTGCCTTGGAACGTGGGTTTGTTTAATGCCTGTGATAGGAAACAAGTTTGTTTGGGTATTTTGTTTCTTTTGGGTAGATGTGGGGGTTTTTTTATATATTTAGAAGTCTTTGGCTAAGCATTCTTTACCAGATTTCTGCAACTGTATTACCTTGAGCTTCAGTGACTATTTCAAAATGCCCTACTTTTTTCATTTATTTTCAGTGTCACTGGTAGAGCCTTGCTCAGGAAAATCATTACAACTCAGCCAAGCATTCTGCCACCATCCCAAAGTTTTGCCCTCTAGCTGTACACTGTATTTCTTTACAGATTTCTTTTCTATTTCTTTATGGTCTGCTCTAAGAGCAACACGCTTTTACAAACTATTTCTTTTCAAGTCCCTATGAGACCGCATCCCTTGAAGTCAAAACTTTTTCTGATCACCTCTATGCTTTCAGCCTTCCCATCTCCCCTGCTGATTTCTTTTAATCTCCATGTCCTGGAGTCAGGTGATGCCATGGGACTCTCATTAAAAAAGAACTGAAGTTTCTAGGCTGGGTGATTACATGGGAAAGCTACCAAACACGATGACTAAAGACTCATATCCTGAAAATGAACACGGAAGCCCAGAACTTGTTTAAATATCTTGTAATTTTAAAGCGAGGATTTTCACTCTGAGGAGGGAGGTTAAAGCACAGGCTGGCAGTCCTGGGAAAGGAGGAAATAACAATTGTTCAGGCTTGGCTTCAGACACCTTAGTTAGGGCTAAGCTGCTTATACAAACAGTATAGGTAGGGGGAGCCTAAAGTCATAGCTCCAGGCACACCTTGTCTGATGGAAAAGCTGGTCTAAACTTCATGCATCATCCACCACCCTGGCCACACATCACTCCTCTGTCCATGGCCCACTTAGTTGTATAGTTATTTTTTGTGGGTTCAGCCAGATTGCTGGAGGAAGATGCCCTCTGGCCTCCCTCCGTAGGAATTAATAGGACATCATGGCCCAGCACTGCGTTGGCGTTGGTCAGCCCACCAGCCCTAGGTGTGCCACAAGTGATTCAGGTTCTCGTCAGCCCTAATTAGCTAATAGCTCTGATTATTTCTCTGTTATTTGTGGAGTATGGAGTCTAGGAGCACACTCTCAATAGCCTGGTTGTGCCGAGAGCACTGTGACCTTCCGAGTCCCAAAGGACTTTCTCTGGCTGGCCGACAACTTGAGCCTCTCTGCTGCAGCGCTCTGTGGTTCTCCACCAAGGCAGTGTAGAGCACTTCAGCATCCCCACAGCTCTTTTGCATGTTTTCTCTCTATAAACATTTGATAATTCTTCAGCTGTCTCTCCTCGTTCTGCCCCAGGTTGCTCTTCTGTATGGAGTGAGTTAGTTTGCTCTCTTCTGCACAGAGATTTTGCTCCTTTCTCAATCCGTAGGGAGACAGCAAACAGGAATCAGACAGCAAACAGGAATCATAGGAAAAAAGCTTTTTTTTTTTTTTTCTTAGTCTCAGAGCTTTGGTGACCTTTGATGCATCCCACAGGCCTGTTGCAGATGGCTCAATGATTTAAAGCACTAGTCTGGTACCCCAGATCCCTCTTCCATAAACTTCAAGGTTGACCTTGGCAAAATCTTTTAGGCTGGAATTTCTCTCACCTAAAAATAGCTCAGCAAACAGCTTCCCTCTATAGCCTATGGAAAGAGAGGGACATCCCCTCCTTCATACCTGAGATAGGTATGAAAAGGAAAAAAGAAAAAAAAAACAAAAAGGAAAGGCAATGAATCACTCTCCAGAGGCACTAACCTTCCTTTATATTGACTGCAAAGGGCTCTCACATGACTACTTTGCTCTGTACACCTAAAAGTTAAATTATGTGAGAAAGGGACAGATTTTTAAAATTATATAGGCCCTATACCTCAGTTTCAGTGGGAATTAGGCAGTCTTGTAAATCTGAGCTTTAGAAGGTTTGCAGTGATCTTAGTGCTTTGCAAAGCAGAACAGTATTTTTTTCGTAGTGAGGATTAGGAGGACTGCAAGATGTTCAGATGCTGTGAAGGCAGACACGACCATTCAGGATTTATTCTCCCTTTTGCTTGCAGCTGCACTGTGCTACTGGTGTTGAATATTGTTCACAACAAAAGGGCCACTACCTCTCTTTGCGAATGTGTCCCCATGGCTGGCAATCCCATGAGATGTCCCCACATGTGGGCTGGGCAGAAACTGGGATCCTGCCTTGCTCAGGACCATGCAAGATACCAGCAGCAGAAAGGAAGGGACGTTTGGGGGTGTCTGCTCCTTGTCTGACTACATCCATTATTTATTACAAACACAGAAGGCTCTGAACTGAGCAGAGGTTTGCTTTGCTTTCCACAGCTGCACCTAGTTCCCCTTCTTGCCAGCACATTGCCTGCCCGAGGCTGACGCTTGTGCACAAGGTCACTGCAAAGACTCCTGCTGCGCTGGGGACAAGCTGCCGGCAGAGAGAGCCAAAGCACTGGAGAACAGGAGGCACATTCCCAGGGAACACGATGCATTCCCGGGGCTGCAGCGTGCATGCACGGAGCGCCCCGGCGATGCTCAAGAGCCCTCTTATTTGAGCATGCAGAAGAGCAGATATTTGCACTACGGTCAACATTGCTCCTTCCCTGCAGCCAGGCAATCCCTCCTTGTGCTGCCCGCAGCTTTGGGCTCCTCCCAGAGCTGCCAGAAAGCAGATTCCCACCAGAAGGTGGTGCCCATATTCCATGAAACTCAAAGCAGGCTCTGCAACTCGGTCCACTTCTGCTCAACGCCTGGACATGGAGCCTCCCAGCTCCAAAACAAGCACAGCAAAAACAGAGCAGCTGATACCAGACCCCTCTGGCAGTTGCAATAGCATCTTTGAAAAAAAAAATAACCTTCTGCATATCTCATTGGGGTGCAGTATATTATATCCTAAGGTTTTATGCCCTAATGGGCTTTTTAATGAATAGAGTCCAGCAGTTGCAATTAGGAGTTTAATAATCCCATGCTCCTGCCTGGATTTTCACCTGCTAACTAAAAATCATGCAGCCATGAATCCATTTGGATCATCTCTGTCCAGAGCCACGTCTGGACGTGGAGTTTGGCGTAATAATTTGCTGCTACCACAGTTTGCTCTTGATGGTGAAAAGCAGATGTGAAACAAGAAGTGAGGGGAGGCCATAGACTCGCTGTGATATGTGACAGCACTGAGTCAGAATTCAGAGGAATATGGGCTCTGGCCTCTCCTCTGCTGTTTTCTCATGTCCTGCTGTCTACTGCCATAAAGGCAACTTGTATCGCGTCCCTCAGGAACCCTAGTTGAGCAGCAGCAAGGTCACCCCTCAACATCAGCAACAGCAGACGTACCTGGCAGTGCTGGGGGACACCTATGAACAGGGTCCCCCTTTGTGCCACAGCTCCTTGACATCAGTGGGTCATGCCCAGACCCTCGTCTGCACCAGGAGCGACGCAAAGGTAGCAGGTCTGCTGCCTTCATGGGCTGCAGGACACTGGTTCAGGCAGGGTCATTCATGTCCCTTCGCCAGTGGATTGTCCCCTCCTTGGTTAAGAGCATCATTATGGAGCTCTAAATCACAGCAGAAATCTACAGAACTAACCAAAAAGGTTTTCTAACACTCAGCCTTTGTGATTTACAGTTCCACCCTCAGCCTGAAGAGATGGAGCTTGGAGAAATTGTTGTTGCTGAACGTCCTAGTGAGAAAAAGCTGTATACAGAGAAGGAACCCGGAGCCCAGGACCTGCTGCAGAAAAGCGGAAAGCAAATCTCTCGGCTTTTTGGGTATCTCACAGGTGAAATGAAAGAGTG